GAAGCACCTGACAGAAATAAACGCAATGTTTGCTTGTGTTAGATTTGTGAAATCTGTTAAAAAATTAAAAGCATAATAAATACCGTTTCTCTGGACTTCCCTTTCTCCGTTTCCCTTTCCTTTCCTCAAAGACAGGAAAATAGATGAAATTCTTCTGAATTTATCTTTGTGAAAGGGGCTTTGCAACAAACAGTTGTGAAGAGGATTGTTGGTGTAGAATTCATTGGACAGTAAATCTGAATTAATTGCCTTCCATCGTTTTATTGACTGGAGGTTCAGTCAATATCGTTAGTGAGTCCAGGGCATGAATTGACTCATTCTGAAATGGGCATGTAATAGAGGTCAGGGGAATCATATGGCTGTAAATACTGTTGTCTTCTGTGTTTAATTAGATAAAACACACCCTCAAAGTCAGATACATAGCAGAAAAGTAAGGTTTCCTTGTGAGTGATACCATCTTCCCACAAATACTTTTCATATTTAGGGTGTTTTCTTCCATGGAGGGCATAAATCCTGCAGCTCTTGTACCAGTGTACATGTGCTCCCATGAGTATTTTGGAGGGTGTAGTTATGCTTGGCAACCTGCTTTACATCAAACCTTTGTGAACTACTGTTTCTCAGGGCTTCCTTCTTCCAGAAGGGTTAAAATGAGACTGGAGTTCTACTTGATGCTCTCTGTAACTTGTTCCTCCTAATAACCACTGAGCTGAGGTCAAACCTGCCGACTACAAAACTAGGCAGTAAATTCCTGACTATGCCACTGGCAGATAACTTTGCTGAAGGAAATAAATGTTAGCCCTTGGGAAACACGGCAGACTTCCCTCTTCCCTTAGTTGGTGAAGACTACGAACAGTGACAGGCGCTACCCTGAAACACTCAGTAACACCCTCATCGTGCTCCCTAATAGAGCAAAGCCATTAAGTTGTCCCCATTGTAATTTAGATCACAGAAGAGACTTCCTCAGATTCTTTCAGGTTAAAATAACTGGTATACAGAGAGAAGGCAAAATTATTCCACTGTAGCTACGTGCTTAATTATATGGGATACTGCATAAATTGTCAAGTGCAAAGAATTATTCTGATAAATTAAAATACTAATTAAATAGGCTATTGCAGAATTTTGAGAACATTATAGGGCTCTGCTTCTCCAGGTAATTTGCATATCCTTCATCTAGTGAATTTAATTTAAAAGCCTCCTTTTTTGTGTGTTTGGAGGCTCTTTTTGTTTCAGTGGGAGATTAAAAAATGGGATTTATACGTTGCAAATGGAATTGCTTTTATTTGTTTATTTATTTGAGGGTTGGTGTTTTTTTTGTTTGTTTGTTTGTTTGCTTTTGAGTAGCTGTTTTCTCTATCATAGAATGGCTTGGATTCAAGGGACCTTAAAGATCATCTACTTTTAATGCCTCTGCCATTGGCAGTTGCCACCTATTACATCAGGTTGCCCAGACTCCATCCAACCTGGCCTTGAGCCCCTCCAGGGAGGGCTCATCCACAGCTTCTCTGGGCAACCAGTGCCATTGTCTCAGTGCCTGATACTTAAAAACTTCTTCTAACCTTTTCTAACCAAAATCTATACTCTTTAAGTTTAAAAGGTCCTACCACTATCTTCCTGTTCAAATAGTCTCTCTCCAGCTTTTCTTTAGGTCCTGGAAGGCTACTATAAAGTGTCCCCAAAGCCTTATCTTCTCCAGACCTGTGACCATCTTCATGGCCCTCCTCTGGACCCTCTCCAACAGCTCTATGTCTTTCTTGTGGCTTCTGATCTGAGATTCCACATGGGGCCTCACAAGGACAGACTAGAGGAAAACAATCACCTACCTCACCCTGCTGGCCACTCCTCTTTTGATGCAGCTCAGGATCCAGTTGGCCTTCCAGGACATGCTGTTGGCTTGCATCAGGCTTTTCATGCACTAGAACTCCCATGTCCTTTTCCTCAGGGCTGCTCTCAATGAGCTCCCCCAGTCTGTTCCTTATTTACCATATAGTCCATCCTTCAAATCTGTACCTCCCCAGTATAGAGATAACGATATGATGGGAACCATGGGCCTTCCAGGACTCCAGGTAGATGGTATCTGTTGGCCTTCCCTTTTTGGCTATTGCAGTCAATCCATCATAGAAGGACACTAGATTGGATTATGGCTTTTTGCTGATGAGTTTGTGAGTCCTCCATTAGTATTTCAGGACATTAAGCCAAGGTTGAAACAAGTCAACTTTGTGCAACATACCACATTACACAAAATTATTATTTCTAGTCCATAAATTCTGCATCAGAAATATTATCTGCTGAATATTTCTACTGGAGTGAAAACTAGTAGGTAGCACAGTAAAATACCCTTTAAAATATTGGCCAATTTTCAAGGAACTGAATTTATTTTCCCACCACTTTTTCCTCATGTAACTACAGCCTACTGACTATGTTTGACATTCTTAATTACAATTATAGAAAGAGTTAAGAAGTTATATCATGTTCAATAGCTTCAAGCAGTTTCTGGATATGTGGTTGATGCTGTAGGCTTGGCACCTTTTTTGACTGAATTTTTGACTTTCCGAAACTGCTTGTGGTGTTCAAGGGTAGTTAAAATATGCTGCTGTTACACACTGGGAGTGAAGATGCTGGAGATGTTTGGCTGTGTCTCCCTCTGTGGTCTGACAGTTCCTGAGCTTCACCCTTCTCAGGTTCTGATTTGATCAGTAACACAGCATGCCTTCATGCCTCTCTATTTTGGCAAGGTTTAGATTAGCACAGCTGTCGAGCTGTCCTTTTTCTTTTAGCCAAGATCAGGAGGGAAGGGTGTGTTAAGTACACCTTATACATATCTCAAAGCTTCAAAAACAAGTCTGCAGGAAACCTAGAGAAAAGAGATTGGTCAAATACGTAGCAGTGAATACAAAATTCAGTGATTCAGCAGACCAAATATTTCCTGTTAGTTTTTCTTGCAGCATAAAAGTACATAGTGGGATTTAGCCTTTTGTTTACCTGTACCTCATTTATTTTACAGCCACTCTGCTGCACAGCTGTATTTGCCCCTAGCTACCAAAGAATCATTTGGTGCAGTTTTTCTGAAGGAGGCCATAGGGTTTCCAGTTCTTTTTAATCTTTAAAATTTTTGCATTTGATAGAAATGTCTTTAATGTATGTGCTGAGCATGATTCTATCAATGTGATAGCAGGGCACATCCAAAAGGGAAAACATCAGTGTGGCAAATTATCTGCCATACGTAAAGCAACACAATCCAGAGTCCATCTCAAGGCTGAAAATCAAGCTTGTTTGCAAAAGTATGCTTTTTGGAAATTCATATTGTACAACTTATATAAATAAAGCCTGAAATCATGTGATCCAGGCAAACTATCCTTGTGCAGTTCCAATGACTCTGAGTGTGATAAACACATACATTGTTAATGTGTAAAGCATGGTTTAAGTAGTATATATGTGAGTACTGAGTGTGTTTTTTAAGCTGTGATCCAGCAAACCACATGTTTGTGCTAGTGGACTCTGTGTTCTCATCAGCAAAACAGCTGGGTCTAAAAGATGGACTGAGCTTTCCTCTTTATTTGCATCATGCACAAAATTAATATCTTGCTGGAGGTAGTCAGAAAAAAATTCTCTGTATTAGATCTGTTTACATTTTTACTTTTTGAGTCTTTGCACATACAAATACTTAGAAAAATAATCCCACATTTTGGATATATGAGGTGAAAATGAGCCCTCATGATACAACTCACCTCTGAAACAAATGTGAGTCATTTGTGTTCTACTTTAGACAAACTAAAGAAAGCATCATCTCACAATAATATTGCTAAGAACTGTCTGCTGTGATGTGAATTGTTCTGAATGTTTCAAACAGCTGCAATTAAATTGTTTTTTTCCAAAATGAAGGAAAAATACATGAATTCTTTTTAGCATTTTTATGTAAATTTTCTGTTTATAATATGTTCTGGCACACTTGTGCTTTCTGGTAGCAATACTTCCTTCAGCTTTCTTAAATTGAGAAGTCTATCCCAATAGTCCTTGTAATCAGAGGAAAGAGAGAGGTGCCTCCTGGTGTGTGTAAGCTGTGTGGGATGACTCATAGTATTAAATGTTCATATCTTCCCATTGACTGCAGAGAGAACCTAGATGACTCACTTGGATTAGATAGTCAATGACTAGACAACTAAGCGAGAAGAGTTTAATAAGGCCGTAAGGTTTCATTTCCATTAATAAATAAAACAGGATGGGTTTCTGTTTTTTGGCCATGAATCCAACTGATATAGTATGCATCTGGATGGCTAACATCTTCCTGCCCAAAACAAGGTGACCTTTCCCCATTCCCTCAGCTCTGAATGATCTCATCCTTGTTTAGTTTGGGCAACAGTAGTGCTCAAGTCCATGCACAGGACATTTCTAGGTTATAAGTATAACCTAGTCTCAGTTATTACTACTCATATTTTGTGTTTTGTTTTGGTTTTTTTTATGCTATTTTATTTATGATTATTTTTGAGTGCTTTTAGTGATCCAGAAACTGATAAATAGGAAAAAATCTCAATTTTATAAAGGAAAATATTGTGCACTGCTTCCTGATGTTGTGAGATAAACTATTTATCTTCCCTGCTAGGTAAAATCGTAATTTATTCTGAAATATAATAGATGGTGACAGTGCTGCTGCAGTGGCAAGATGCCACACTGCTCCTTGCTTCAAGAAGACAGTGGGAAGATTCTACCAAAGAGAACTTCCCAGACACACTGTGCATGTATTAAGTGTGTCATGTTCTGTATACAAGGGAGCAAGAATTAGTTTGGTTTTCTTTTTCACAGAAAAGTGAACAATTAACGGTACATTTATGCATTCAAAACACTCAATAGCAGAGTGTCTATCAGGGAAAAATATTCCATAGATGGCAAAGGTCATGAATTTATTGATGGAGGATAGGAGGGGAGGCTGGGTACACTACATGTGCTGCAAAATTATGCACATTTCAGCTTTCCCATAACTCTTTCAATCTTGATTTTCCTTGTAGCCATGAACAAAGAGAAGCTTGAAAAAACAACTGGGCTGAGAATTCTGCAGACTGGCGTGGGGGAGGTAAGTGGTTTGGAGGCATTTTACACTTTCAAAAACATTTTAATTGTTACTTTTTTTTGTTTGTTTTGGGAGGGGAGTTCTTTTTTGTTGTTGTTATTGTTTGGTTTTAATGAAATCCTGGAGCTCATGAGCGTTTGTGAGCTACCAGTCTGGTAGTGCTAAGGGCCTTTTTATGATACAGTTACATCTGTCAAAATACAATCTGCTGCACAAATAGCACTGTATCCCACAGAGAAAAAATACCATCCTTACGAGGAAAGTGCAGCTGGCTTTAAGAAATGCAGTTTTTTGCTTTGTTGTATCACAGAAAGAAAATCCCCAAAGATGAGCACAGCAACTGAAGTCATCATGCGCAGCGACTGAAGTCGTTGCATTATTCCCCTTAGTTTTGATGGAGTACTATCTTATCTAGATCAATGAAAGTTTAAATCTGGGGTAAAGAGTCTTCAGATGTTAGAGAGAATCTGTCAGTGAATGGCTTGCATATTTTGGATGTAACTCGAAATATAAATAAAACATGTGTTTGTTATTATGGTGATATCACTAAGCAAAAACTCCACTAAGCAGTTCATCATTTATTAATAAAGATGATGCTATCTGCTAAGGACATTGTGTGAACTACAGTTGATTGCTAATTCTCGTGCTAATTTTGTGTACACAGTTATCTTTTTTTTCCCTTTTCATTTAAGTAATTTTGCTAGTGGTGAATACTCAGAGCTAAACAAATAGCTTTTTCTAGGGATTACATTATTCTCAGTATTAAGGACAATGAATAGCTTGTAATATACTGAAGAAATTTTAAAGTTTTGTTGTTGTTGTTGTTTTTTAACTGATTTTCGTTTTTATAACATTTCTGGGTTTTATCAGCTCATGCCTAAAAAGTTACCTTGCCATGATTTTTGAGGTTCTTTGCATAACTTTATTCATATTACAAGTCCCGGTCCTGAAGAGGTATCAGCAGTGGTGCTCGGTGAGAGTCTCAGGGTCAAAGCTGCAGGAATTTGATCTTTGATAAAAACATAGGTAACGACATCAGAAAATGAAAGCCAGCATCTCTCCTTCACTGACTCGGATTTAACTAGTTGAGATTTTCAAGGATGTGTAAACTCAAGAGCTGGGAGGGCTATCCTGCAGGAGAAATGTGCATCTCATGCTGTGTCCTGACTTCAGGCCAGAGGAAAGCTTGTGTTTGTGCTATCCCAGAACTTCTTTTCTGGTAAATAACAGGAGAATCAGGACTGGCACACACTGTGGCAGCCACATGCAGTACAAGTTTTTACTCAGAATTCAACAGTATTCTGCATGCTGATGAAATATCTCCATGTATTTTACCCAGTTCCAATAAGTGAGTGAATTCCAGCTGGCTTCAAGGTCAGCTGGAAAAGCAAAATCTCCAGTTTCTGTTCAGCCCACTTCTCTTCAAGCACTTACTGTTAAATAAATTGTTGTCTTAGATGTGGTCAGTGGACAAAGAAAGTACTTTTGGATGTTTGAAATGTGAGACATTGTCCCCTGTCATACACACCATTGGTCCATGCTGTAATAATAAGGTTGCTGTAACTACGGTAGTCTAAGTATGTACTGGAACCAAAGCCTCAAGGAGCTCCTCTATGTTTTTAAGGCCAGCTAATAAAACTAGGACAAATGGACAAGTTCTTTTGCTTGAGATCTCATCTGATTCTTGAGCTTAGTAAAAGTCATCACTCTTGACTGTAGACCTCACCTCTTGAATATTTGGGCTATCATAATGAAAAACGAATGGTGATACTATGTGGTATAAAAAAGACTTTCACAGAAGCTTGTGTTGTACACTCTGCCAAATGCATATTTTGATAGGGCAAAAAAAAAGTGAAAATGAATTAACCAAAGGGAAGAAGATACTTGAGGACTAATATATTCCAGGTTACATTTGAAATATGGTGATCAGCAGTGAAAGATCCCAGTGGTTTGGAACATTCAGGTGCTGAATGAACATTTATTTAGCTGCTTACTTATTTCTTTGGTTATGAATTCTCCCAGCTCTGTATACTCCTGTTTGACTTTTCAGCCATGATTCTGTACATAATTAGTACAATTCTGCAGTCTCACCTACATGAAAAATAATGGGATGCAGTGAGCAAGTTGTTTCTTTGTTGACAGAGTATGAAATTTAGTTTATTTCCGGTTAAATCTAACTTTGTTAATCTGCTTCTAGTGTTTGTTCTTGACTCACCCTATTATTTAACAGCATCAAAATACCAAAATACATATTTTAACATTGTGGAAGAATCTTCTGTTGAGTAAGAAGTTCTTCAGCTTCACACTGTAGGAATTTTTTATACGTAGCATTGTTTATATTCAATGCTAACTGTTAATCAAAATCATGATGCTCAAAAGTATTTAGAATAAATTTTGGTTTCAGAATGAGAAATGGCCTTTTTGTTTGTATAGCAGGTCAGATTCTTGACAAAATTAATGGAAATAAAATCTTCACTTGCGGGACTGTAAAATAAAAGGAATTGATTTTGTATGGCGAGTTTCATATCTGAAATAGCTCAAGAGAAAAATAGTTGTGATACTGGTGGCAAATGGAACAGCTGTGTAAACAAATGCAGGAAGAGTTCTAAAGCTCAGCAATAATTCATGTGTTCCTCTGGACAGTGGAATCTGTTTTAGGCCTTGGTCTGTGATTAACAGGATTTGTGCCGCAGTAGGAAACGTGCAGACACTGGGCATTGGATGTGGTGGAAAGAAACTGTCATTTCTGTGCAGAAAAGAAATGCCTCTCAGAGCTCCTCAGTCCCTCCCCCCCCCTTCCCTCTCTTTGAAGAAAAGCATTTCATAAGCAACAACACCAGAGTCACAGTCCCTGGAGGAGTTCAAGAACTGTGGAGATGTGGCACTGAGGGACGTGGTTACTGGGCATGGTGGGGATGGACCAGATGATCTTTGTGGTCTTTTCCGGCCTTAAAGATTCTATAATTCTGTGATCATCATACAAAAGATTTACACAGCTTCAGTGAGTCTTTTTGATACAGCTGAAGTTAACTGCATTGTGTCAGTTTAGAGTAGGTTCTGGCTCTTCTTCAGCAGAATTAAAAATGAGTTCCTTATCTGTAGGAAAAGCTGTTAACATGTCAAAACGTTGGCTTAAAAGCTCTATGCATTCTATTATAAGATCTGAGTGATATATATATTTCTATATATTTCTCCCTCTTTGGAGATCTTCAAAAGCCATCTGGATGTGGTCCTGGGCAACCTGTTCTACATTGCCCCGTTTGAGCAGAGCGTGAACCAGATAGACCCAAAGGTCCCTTTCAACCTCACCTACTGTGTGATTCTATGATATAGAGCAAAGCATTGCTTGGAAATTAGCAGAGCTTTTAGGTCATTGTGGAACAACAGACCTTTAGTGCTGTTTGTGCAGCAAGTCTGCTTCAGCATCTAACACTTGCTGGTCGAATATTTAGTGTTTTAGGGATCTGAAGAGTTAGACTGAAATTTGATGTACTGTGTATCACTCTTAAAGAGCTAATTATTTTGTCACCCAACTCATTTATAAGGTGGCTGTTACACCAGAAAACCAGGAATAACTGCTGCAGAGAAAAATAGCCCTGATAAAGAAGTACTGCAGAAGTATGCATTGCTGTGGTACTAACTCACTCTGACACTGTATTTGCTGAGACATTTATTTTCTATTTGGAGTTTACCAACACCTGTAACAACCCTGAAATTCCTAAATGGTAGCTCTGCAGGGTTTGAGTCATTGTCATGCGTGATGTCAATGCTTCATGAATTCATTATGAGCTTCTCACACTTTCCTGCTTATTCAGGTAAGATGAAGCTGACTTTAAAGTATTTTATTTCGATCTTCCCCACACAGAGTAAATCTCTCCAACCCTAATTTCACCTTCAGGTGTTCAAGAACCTCCTATAGTTAGCGTATGTAAGACCATGAATGTAAGTGTTGTGGTATGCATGTGTTTGCAACACCATAGGAGGCATGGTACTGGTAAAAAGAAATTAACCACAGGACCTGTAACTCCATTCTCCTGTCTCCCAACTTAGAATCATAGAATCGTTTAAGTTGAAAACGGTTGAGAATATCTACAAGATCTCAGAGAGATCATTTAGTTCATGGTCACGTGGATTAAGAACTTCTTTACCAGAGCACAGCTCTGCTTGATTCCTACTGAGCTCAGGATTCATCAAGGTTGGGATTCCCAGTCTTTTGCTGACGTCACTTCAGGGGCTAAACTGGAATTACTTCCAAATCCTTCAGGAATTTAATTACTTCTCTTTCTTTAGGCACTTTTAAATTATCACGAAAGAAAAGTATTTTTTAGTTTGATGCCACTCCGAGCTTGACTGTGACAAAAGTTTCTGTTCAAGGCCAGTTCCAGTTCAAGAAAATTTCAAGCAATGGTTCAAGTGCATGGGCTAATAACTGCTTACGACCTCTTTTGGCTGAAAGACAATTTCAAAATAACAAGTCAGGGTTTCCAGTGGCTCAAGAAAGCGTAATAATTGAAATCAGTTTACTGGGTTAGGAGTGTCATTTGAATAATAAATTATTTGAATTAGGGCCCAAAATAAATGAAGATAATGGCACTGCCTCTGTCCTGAAGCAGTAGAACAGGAACCATGATGTAATACATTATTTTAAATGAACACAAAATACACTCATCATTGGAATTAAAAATGAAAAATGTTTTTGTAGAATACAAATCATGTTTCTCATAGTATGACTGACGTAAGAATTAGAATATTTTTCTAAACCAAGTGGAAGTAACCCAAAATATATGTAGAAATGAACGCTTCACTATCTCTATAGATGTTCTAAAATAGAGATAAAATAGGACTTATAGATATTTTGATAGGTCTAGAATTATGTTGATCTTACATACAGAGATGTTTCTTCACTGAATAAAAGCACTCTGCAAGTGAAAACTTTACTTTATGGAATGTAACCTTAAGTCTATATAGACAAACAGGAAAAAATAATAAATGAAAAACTGTAA